TTTTTTCTTTCTTTTAAAAATAATTCTTTCTTTCTTTCTGTTTTTTCTTTCTTTCTGAAAAAATTTTTGTTTTCTTTCTTTTTCTTTTCTTTTCTTTCTTTCTTTCTTTTTCTTCAAGTTTTTCTTTCCTTTTCTTTCTTTTTTTTTTTTTTCTTTCTTTAAATTTCTTTTCTTCTTTCTTTCTTTCTTTCTTTCTTTTCTCTTTTGATTATTTTTTTTCTTTCTTTTTCTTTTTTTATTTTTAATTTCTTTCATTTCTTCAATTAAATAGAATTTTTTTCTTTTGAAAATTTCTCTTCTGATTATTTTCTTTCTTTCTTTCTTTCTCTTCTGATTATTTTCTTCATTGTTTTTTTTCCACTTTTTAAATTTTATATAAAAATAAATTTTTTTTTTTTTTTTTTTTTTTTTTTTTTTAATTGTTTTTTGAGAAAAAGCAATTTCCTTTATTAATCAATTAATTAATGAATTCTGATATTATTATTTTTTTAAAATATTTTTTTTCTGAAAATAAATTTCCTTGCCGTCAAAATGATAACAGATGTCGTTCAATAAACAATAATGCACCTGAATCTTACATTATTTAACATGAAATTTTATTCACCTTCTGACTTCAGAAACAAATCTTGGTCAGAGTTTCTTTTCGGCCATTTTGAACCATCAACCGAATATCGTACTTTGTCTCCGCAAGACTGACCAGCTTCTCAATGGCGAAGTTGTTAATGTATTCATCTGTCAAATGGTTGTCTTATAAAATACATATCATTGTAATTTATTTTATTATGTTCGCCTCTAGAAGGAAAATTAACAACAGGAGAATCACGGATCTCCACTCTCGGTCGGAGCCAACTTATCTCAATCCTGCACCTAGATTCCTTGATAGTCTAATGTAAAATTAGAGGCAAATTTTATTCATGCATGATCTGGGGTTACAATAAAATATTAAAAAATTTCAACAACAAGACTCAAAATCTACTTCTTTCAAATCATTAAAATTCAAGTAATAATCATGAATGAGGTATAAGATAAAACGAGAAAAGGAAGCGGTAGAAAATGGAGATTATGAATTGTTTATTACATAAATAGGTAATGGACCAAGACTTCAGGTTGAAAGTCTTTTAATGCTTATCGTCTGTTTGAATTGTTATCTAAAGAATTTTCGTATTTTAGATTTTAATATATAATTATTTTATATTCAATAAATATTGCATGAACATTAATATTGGGAGAATAATAATTTTCATCCAGATGCAAGTTTTACTTTTTAACCCATATCTGGGGGAAGAAGATATATTATCTTTCCTAAGGGTATTTGCGCAGGTGAATGTAACGAACCTGATTAGAATTCCATATCGGCTTTCCGATTTTCCATTCAATGCTCTTATCTATTACACCACCTGCGCATCCACTTTGTTTATAAAATGAATAAAAGATTTTTTTACAATTCCATTTGAGGATTTTTTCCTTTTTGTTTAAAACTTGAAAAAAAAAATCCTTTTGAAATGTTTCTTATGTCGCATTTATTTTCAAAATTGAAACAAATATTTTTCAGCTCCGAACGTAGCATGATGTATTATGGTATTAAATGTCTTAAGTGGTGTGACAAAAGGTAGGAGAAAACATGTCATCTAGTATAAAGGATTCACAATTCTCGCGACGTTTATATAAATCTGCATATATCTCTTCATACGCAGATGATACAGTACTGATAGCATTCAACGGAAAAAAAAACTACAAAATATTTTTACAAGTAGTGAGGAGATCATTTAGGGATTAAACATAAACTACAAGAAAACAGAATATATGCTCATCAGTAGATGAGCCCAAAATCGGATTTGCAGGCTGAGGGCACTAAAATCAAGCAGGTGCGGAAGTTGAAATATCTGGGAAGTGTTTTGACGAAGGAAGGTAGGTTTGACGCTGAGATCCGTAGACGGATTGGCATGGCCAAGGACGCATTCCAAAAGCTAGACAGAGTCCTGCGAGACAGGAGAGTTGCTTTGGTGACAAAGAAAAGAGTACTGAGCCGTTACGTGAAATCTCTCCTCCTATACGGCAGCGAATGATGCACGGTCTCCTCAAAAATGAAGAAGAGACACGAGGCGGCGGACATGTAGTTCTACAGAAGGATGCTGAGGATATCATGGACCGAGTGGGAGAGCAACGATGAGGTCTTGGAGAGGATGGAAACGATCTTACACTTAACATAAGGAAACATAAGGAAGAGGCAGATGAAATTTCTGGGACACGTAATTAGAAAAGAGAGCCTGGAGAATCTAATACTTACAAATCCAATAGAGGGAAAAGGACACAAGGGAAAGCAACGCATGACATACCTGGCGGGAAAAAGCAAGTGGATGGCAGAACGTGGTTTGGAAGAACCATGATCGACTACGGCCTGAAAGGTCATTTTGTAAAAAATTTGAATAAAAAAATGGAAAAAGGATCGACTACGGCCTGAAAGAATGAACGGCATAAAAAAGGATAAGTTGAAGTTCAAATGTTGAAGACTTGTCCTGAAAGGACACAGCACATAAAAAAACTAAGATATATCTCTTCAAATATTATCTATCTCTATTAGTTTACTTTTGCCTATCATATCATATTTATATATATTTCATATAGTGGAAAATATTTCCCTATCTCTGTGACTGTTGACGTCCGATTTTATCATAAAGGCAATTTTCAAATAAATAAATATTAACTTTTATACATTTTTGTATATATATATATATATATATATATATATATATATATATATATATATATATTATGATTATTTTTTAAAATATTTTCCTTCGCTACATAAGAGTTCTCATGTTTCAAAAAAAAAGAAACTATCCATTTAATAATTAAAATTAAATTGAATTAAAGTAACAAGCCCTGTTTCATCCTCAAGTGAAAATTTAGGAATAACCATTTTTTGAAATTGCATGAAATTTACGTATCGTTATAAGCATTTTCATTCGTTACTATGGAAATTATGGGGTGACCATTTTTTATAAAAAAAGCCTAAGAGTTAATTTTTTATCACATTTCAGTCAACTTCAGGGAGAGGTCAAGCTGAGGTAGGGTGGGGTGTCTATTTCAAAGCGAATGATGTCATTTCCTGTACGTCATCGTCTGTTCATTCTTTCAAGATAGATTTTGGCACCATAGTATGTTGTTAAGTGTCTGGATAATTTTGTTTTATTTTATTTTATTTATTTTTTTTTTTTTCAACGGGCTGTTTCCTATATTAATGCGTCGCACTGAACTACAATTTGTTTTTTTTTTTTGACTTCATAAAGGGTTTTTCTTTAATGATTGGGTTAAAAATCTTTTTAACCCTTTATTAAACTATGAAATTTGATTTTTTTTATGCTAATTATTTAATGCGAAATTTTGTTGATGTCGGCAAAAAAAACGTTAACTCATGTCTGTGGTTTAATAAATTTTATTTAATGCGAAATTTTGTTGATGTCGGCAAAAAAACTTTTAACTCATGTCTATGGTTTACTAAATTTTAATTATTTAGTAACTTAATTATGTGTAGTATTTCATGTAGGCATAAAGGGCATGGGTCATCCCAGGTTTTATTTTCCAATTTACTTTTGGTGTTTTATTCATTCCTTTTAAATGCCAAAAATATTTGGATAGAGATGTCTGATTTCTACTTCTAATATTATTGAAGGAGCTTTTATGTTGCCTCCACCTAATTTTAAATTCATTCTTCGTTGACCCAATATAGTATATCCTATCAGTGTTAGGACTCTCAATGGATGAGATAGTGCATTGGTATACTACGGATTTTATGAGGTATTTATTTACCAACGGGCAGTCTTCAGGGTTACTACAATCACATAATTTTTCATTATTTTTGTCTGATTTTAGTTTAGTATTTTTATTAAAACTGTTTTGGTGCGCGTGTGTTTCTACGATTTTATTATTATGTTTTTTTTATGATTCTTTCTAGATTTTCATTGCAACTGTAACTTAATTTTAAGGTGGTTTTATTAAAAATCTTGCTAAGTCTGTTTTTAGTAGGAAAGTGTTTTTTCAATTAAAGCTAGGAACTTATGTCCTAAAAAGTAGTATATATATATATATATATATATATATATATATATATATATATATATATATATTTTTCATTATTTACATATTTATTACAACTTTTCGGCCTTTCAATCTGTCTATATTTTTTGAGATGAACTTATTATGTACAAATTTACATTATTCGGACTATTGTCCTCATCTTTGTCGGATGTTTATCACAACGTCTCGGACGTTGTACGCTCCAACCTTCTTTAGGGAGTTGGAAAATGTAGATTTCGCTCACTGAAGAATAATTTTAATAGTTTCTCAGAAATATAGACAGATACATAAAGGCCAAACGTTGTAATAAATATGGCGAAAATGATGAAAACAATAGTCCGAATAATGTAAATAGTGTTCATAATAACTCATCTCAGAAATATAGACAGATACTGAAAGGCTGAAAAGTTGTAATAAATATGGCGACAAATATGAGGACAATAGTCCGAATAATGTAAATAGTGTACATAATACCTCATCTCAGAAATATAGACAGATGCGATTTTCATTATATAATATTTTTTTGTTGGAAAAAATATAGAATATAATTACAATAATTTATTTGATGACTTTAAATTGTACCATATAATATTGTAACTATTGCAGATAAATATACGGTGTGTCGCTGTATAATTCCAGGTTTGACCCTATAAATGGAGTTTTAATTGCTTGGCTCCTATTGGTTGCATACACTTTCAATTTGCTCTCCTTCTGCTGTTGATCAAACGATGATGTCATTGCCAGAAACATTCACGAAAATGGTTTTCCAGCATATCTATCAGTAATGTACACACTCGTGGCTGGGTATCTGGTATGTCAATAATTTTATTTCCTTTTAATGCATTTTTGAATTTTAGTAGACAAAAATGACAAGGGGCCAACTATGTCGATTTAGGTGTATACCTCATCTTATTAACGGTTTG